CTGATGAAAAATTTTTAAAAAAATATTTAAAATGCGTGATTTAGGTAGTGTTTCAAAACAGACCGGATATCACGATATGGTCGATTTTGTTCGTCGCAAATCTGTTCATTTAATTTCTCCAGCGTATCAAGCCCTTCAGTTACTTGACCGAAAATTGTATGTTTGTCATCCAGATAGTCTAAATTTCCACCTGAAATATTGCGTTTATTAGGAAACTTTTAATACGCCCCAAAATACAAGTATAATTTAGCACTGGAAATAGTCTATTTGTAAATAAGACAAACCTAAAGTGATAAAGAACTGGCTGCCAAGCATATCCGCACCATTATTAACCATTGATACGATTCCCATTCTGGTATGGCGCAGCTTCGGGATAGGTTCTGGCTCAAAATAACGGCCCTTGTCACCATAGAGGAAACTAAAAAATATTCCATTATACTCGCAAATATCGCGAAGTAGGATAAATGGCCAGCACACCGACTGCCAATGCGAAGATACGTTTTTTGCATAGTTCCCTGCAGGCTTTTGTAGCTAATGGTACCTGTTTTTTCCGGCAAATACTACCAGCTAAGGTAATTGAGACTAGCCACCAGGGGTGTCTGAAAACATCCCTTTAAAATTTCAACCTCCTAGCCTTCTTGGTTCCCGAGTTAGCAACTTACCCGCAAAAAACTTCCACGAGCTCGTACATAGGAACCACGCATACTCGAGGGCTGGGTCTGAACTCATTAATACCTAAGCGGATGTGAAACATCCCCTTAAAATTCCAGTCTTCTAACTTCTCAGCTTCCCGAGTTAGAAATTAACTCGAAAAAAACTTTGGCGGCCCTGTATGTGGGTACCGCACGAGTAAGAGCGCCCATTTTGAAGATGGGCGCCCACTCAGGCATGTGGATTAAGTTCCCAAAGTTTCAGCCCTGTGGCTTTTGTAGGTTTGAGATGAAAAATCGGTACAAAGGCCCAGCGCACACACAGACACAGACACACACACACACACACACGCAACCTCTCGTCAGTATGCCGTTTACTGCACTGCATTCCTGCAAAAAACGCATAAAAACTGTTTTTGTTCATAAATTTATAGAACTCACACGTAAATCGATTCGCCACCTCTGCCGGTACCAGTTGGATCTCCGGTTTGCGCAATATAATTTTGCTAAAACATCAAAAATCAACATTTAAGAAAACATTCCCAGAAAATCGTCCGAAACAGCAAATTTTTGTCTTTTTTTTGAAACTTTGTGCATGAAATGGTTTGTAAGACGTATCACTTTGTGAGATTGCTCTTTTCAAGCAGCTCTTGCGAATCTATTAGAAAACTCTAACAACAAGTTCAGCTGAAACAATATTCTTCACGTACACAAATTACTACATAAGGCAAAAAAAACGTACCTCAATTGCATGGAATTGGCAGAAATTGTAATATTTCATCTTGCATAATTTCAAAAAATTCATTGAACCTGTAAAAAATTAATTTTCGTAATTTCAAAAACTCAATAAATTGAGCTTTACTGTGCATTTGTAAGCGCCGATCCAAGCGATATTAGTCAGTACTGCCCATGTTTGGTCGGACAAAATACGACTTGCTATTTTCTTCGCAAAACTGGATCTGTCAAATTTATACTCCGCCGTGCCCCGAACTTCCTAGTGTCGCTCCCACATTACGATGAATTGTCTGGTTCGCAAAATTCTTAGCAAAAAATGCATACAAATGTAGAAGGTGGTGGTTTTTGTTGCACAAAAAAATGTATTTTAACCGTTCAGAACCAGATCATACACAAAGTTTGTAATTCGATTCTGAACA